TATACTGAAACCCCTTTTCAACAAGTCCAGTCTTGTACCTCTTACTGCCACCAAACACAGTCTTCCTCCGGTACACCCACTTGTTGTGCAATGCCTTCTTCCTTGGTGGAAATTCTGCCAGCTCCCAAGTCTGATTCATTGGCAGGGAATCCATTTCTTCCTTCTTGGTCAGCTCTCACTTGATTCAAATTTTTATCTTACAAGATTTCTTCATAACTCTGTGTTTCTCCATCATTTGTCTGTACAATGTCTAATCTCTACTACTTTTTAAGAAATTGAACTTCTTCTACTTTCCCATAATGCATCTCTGACTCACGTGTCATCGCTTGAGTAAATCTGTAGTCATATATAGTGTGTCAGTTTTCTTGCCCCGAGCCATTACTAATGCTCATTTGGACACCTTCTAAGTGTTATCGTGCTATCTGAGGACACTACCAAATGACTACCATTATTGAGTTGCCCAATAGAGATGAGGTTTTTCTTAACTCAGGAACGTGTCTAACCATTTGCAAAGTCCATTTGCTCTTGTTAGGGAGTGCAATATCAACGTTTCTCATCCTCACCACGTCCAGAGCTTTTCCATCAGCCAGATATACCTTCCTAAAGTTATATGCAACATAATTTCGCATTAACTCCTGATGGGAAGATGTATGGAAGAAAGTCCCTGAAACCAGTATCCAGTCATCAATAGAATTGTGAACTGTCAGAAATAGTGCATCCTGTATTTCTTCAGTTACAATATTAGCGTCATCATTCTCCTTCTTCTTAGGATTCCTGCAGTTTCCTTTTATGTGGTCTGCCTTGCCACAATTCCAACAGGTTGTCTGCTGACCAGACTTTAATTTTGATCTTCCTCTGTTTGAGTTCCTGTCATGTGATCTTCATCTGGAATCAACATTCAACACCGAACTTGAACACGAGGTCTCGCCAGAATCTTTCCTGTGCACCTCCTTAGCCAAACTCAAATCACTAATATTATCATATTTCAGCTTAGATTTACCTGCAGAACTACTAACTGCCATCCTCATGGCTTCCCAGCTATTTAACAATGAAGCCAACAATATCAGCGCACGTATCTCATCACTAAAATCAACTTCAACAGACGACAACTGATTTGTGATAGTATTGAAATCATTTAGGTGTTGAGCAACAGACACACCTTCCACCTTCTTCAAGTTGAATAACTTTTTCATTAGATGCACTTTGTTATTCGCCGATGACTTTTCATACATGCTTGATAAAGACGCCATGAGATCTGCAGTAGTCTTCTCCTTGATTACATTGTGGGCAACGGATCTCGACAGAGTTAATCGTATAACCCCCAGAACCTGTCGATCCAACAAATTTCATTCCGCCTCGTCCATCTTTTTTGGTCGCTTTCCCAGTAACGGAAGATGAAATTTCTTCCCATAGAGGTAGTCCTCTATCTGCATCCTCTAATAAGCAAAATCTGTGTCATTGAACTTCTTGATCCCCGCCATATAATTAATTATTTACTCTATCCACCCACACAGAGAAAACTAACACGCTAATTAGTTATGATGTTGGCAATTATTATAATTAATAAATTATAAAACTACCCCTCTACTACGTTATATCAGTATCCTATCTCTCTCTATAAATATAGCCGTTGGAATTCAAACGTTATTATATCAGTACTGTAACTAACCCAGAGCCCATGGCTTCTCCTGCTTCGTTTCTCTTTGCATTTTTGGCTTTCTTCAGCCTGATGATGTACAGTTGTCTTCTCTGCTGCAGCGCGGATCCTACTGATGGCTTTACTTCGGTGCCATTAAGCCAAGCGAATTTGGTTCTTCAGTGGCCTTATAATGCGCAGTTGAATGATCGCTACAGCTTCGTTAATGGAGTTCATAAGGCGTGGCTGTATTCTACAGATAAATCATTTAAGCCTGGCAGCTCTACAGAACCCCGTACTGAGATCCGTATCAAAGTAATGTGTCTTATCTTTTATAAATAAATATGTTTTATGTATTAAAATTTGGGAAATTTGCATACATGCCGAGCAATTGATTTTATATATGTCGTGAAAAAATGACGATAATAAAATAAAAAATAAATTGCACGAAAAAAAAAATAGAAAACACCAGAGCGACACACAGATTTGTGTGGTTCTGCAAATTTTCCTACGTCTACGGGGCTGGAGAGGATTTTATTTCTTCGAGGAATTACACACCGTCGAGCGCCTCGATGTTTTTAAGAAAATCTCTATTTTCTTCTCTCCCTTCCTCTCTAAATTTTCCTACGTCTACGGGGCTGGAGAAGATTTTATTTCTTCGAGGAATTACACACCATCGAGCGCCTCGATGTTTACAAGAAAATCTTTATTTTCTTCTCTCCCTCCCTTTCTCTCTTTCCCATTCCTCTCTTAGCTCCCAAGAGGACTTGGCTTGACCTTGCTTGACTTGGCTTGACTTCTCCTTTAAGCCAAAAAAGTTTATTTATAAAAACCATGAAAGCGGTAGGTGGGAGGTAGGTGAGCGGTAGGTGGGATGTGGTAGGTGAGCGGTAGGTGGGAAAATAGGTGAGCGGTATGTGAGATTCTTAATTAGAAAGCTAATTAAATTTCGGTGGACCAGGTCTCCACATTACCCAACAGTATAGACAGAATAAGGAGTATCTAAATACGATTCTTATTGATTTAGAACAAGCTTATGATAAGATTGTAAGAGATATCCTTTTGGATAATTCTAGAGAAGAAAGGTGTTGATATGACTTATATTCAAGTCATTAAAGATGTGTATACTAGAGCTGCTACTTGTGTTTGAACAGAAGCAGGATTGTCCAAATATTTTCCTATTTCAGTTGGATTACTTCATGGATCGGCTTTAAGCCCATATCTTTTTGATTAGTTATGGATGCTCTTACTGGACATTTACAAGATGTACCTTAGTGTATGTTTTTTTGCTGATGATATCCTTCTTGTGAATATGACTAGATGTGAATATGACTAGAGAAAGAGATAAGACGAGAGAAAAATCTCAAGAAAAACTTGAATTATGGAGGTCTACCCTGGAGTTTAAAGGCCTTTGTATGAGTAGAACTAAAACTGAATACTTGGAATGTAATTTTAGTAGTAGTAGCTCTAGTGCAGAGTTGTAACTATGGGTGATCAATCTATTAAAAGTTGTAAATATTTTAGGTATCTCTGGTCTATTGTTTAAAGTGATGGTGATATAGATGGGGATGTTATTAGTAGAATTCAAGTTGGTTGGTTGAAGTGGAGATATGCTTCGGGCCTATTGTGTGATAGAGAAGTATCGTTTAGACTGAAAGGAAAATTTTATAAGATGGTGATGAGACTTGCAATGCTCAATAGCACATAATGTTGGCCTTTAAAAGAGAAGCATAAATTAAGTTAAGTGTTGCCGAGATGAGAATGCTTAGGTGGATGGGTGGCTTTACACTTCAAGATAAAATGCGAATTGAATAAATTCGTGATAGGGTCGGTGTAGCTTTTGTTGCGGACAAAATTAGAAAGAGTCATCTTGGATGGTTTGGTTACATTAAACACCGACCTTCCGATGATCCGGTTACGATAGTAGATGTTTTAGATTCAACTTATGTTAAAAAAGGCAGAGGTAGATCTAGAAAGGCTTTAGCATATTGTATAAAAATGATCTTAATTTATTAGTAAATATGACATGGAGAAAAAGGATTCATGTAGCCGACACCACTTAATGGGATAAAGGCTTGTTCTTGTTATTGACTTCTTCTAGTCTCTCTTACAAAATATTCACATTTCTTGCTGCCATCTCTCCAAGATCTTGCATTGATATCAATTGGATACGAATCGGAACTAAAATCAACGAACAAATTACAAAAAATATGTGAGAAAATCCAAATTAGAGCTAATTTGATTAATCTCTAAGAAAACAAATAAGATACAATGGGTTATCTATAATCTGAGAGGTAGATTGGCTCTCAACAAATCCTTGACGTTTTTAGGAACAAGAAGATAAAAAGAAATTTACAGGAATAAAAACATGAAAATAAATGCTAGGTGATTAGCCCTAATAATGACCCCTAAACATTTTTAATCTTTCCCGTCAAAAGATATGCAAACTTTCCCCCCAAACCCCCTTAAATTCTCTCATCGCATACGTGATTAGGGGCTTAACGTGCCCCAGCCAAAGGCTGGAATCTTCTCAGGAGAAAACACGTGTTTCGACCCCATAGGCTGGGCCGGCTTGTTTGGCTTAGTCAGGTCGGTCTAGGCGAGTCCAGGAGGGACCGATATAACATAATCATGTTATCCTGGACCGGTATAACATAATCCTTGGGAGAGGATTATTTTAACTCATATTAAAAGAGCCTAGGGACTAATTTGACACTTTTATGTAGTCTGGGATTAATATGACCTCCCGTAAATTTGAAAATTCACTCGTGCATTGTGACAGTATTGAACTTAACTGTCAAATTAAAGAATGCATAGAGATGCACGCGCGCACACTGACTCACGCATAAAATCTCTCATGTACATGTGCACACACACAGGTACACACATACACGCGCATACATATACGCACACTAAACCTTAGAGAAGATATTTTGTAGTAGTAATGCTAAATATATCATGTTAGTTTACAATTTTTCTTGCTAAATCTTTTTTTGGAGTCCCATAGATAAATCTAAATTTGACATAGTAGCTTGCAGAGAAAGTAGAAAATGCTATATTGGCTTTCAATTGTAAGTCTCGTTTACTATTGCATTAGGCTTTTATGCGGTGGAGGATTTAGAGGGAGGCTTTGGGAATGGAATACATGTTAAAGATATTTTTGGGAAATGAACATAGAGTATTAGAGCCTTTTAGGAAAAGAACGTAGAGTTTTTTGTCTATGATATTACATGTGACTTGTTACAACTTAAATCTGATTTTAGTGCAAGATGTACGAGGGTTGGCTAGGACTTCAATCACAAGTGACATAACTTCGGAAATTTATATTGCTGTGTTGAAAATGACAATCAATTTTTTATCATAGAAATCAATTTCCATTCGAAGTGGATGCAAAGCTGGAAATGAAGCTGTACAATGGCTCGGCTGATATAAATGAAAATAATTGGTTGGTGCTTTTGACACTTGTTTTTTCATATAAATATAATCATTCATAACATATTGATTTTGCCTTAAAATGTCATCACTTGCTCTAATTTTGTTTGATGTTAAGTTCATGAGCAATGATATATTAAGAATTTCATTGTTTGGGTTCAAAGAACTGCTTAGTTTTCAACTTGACCTACTTGGGCATGAAAATGAAAAGTTGGTCTGATGGTAACAATTTGGATATAAATGTGAGCAATTAGTGCAAAATTATACCATGGAGTTCCATAGGCTAGTAATTGCCTTAGAAACCTTCAAGGTAGAAAATTTTATTTTCATGAAATAAATAGCAATGTTTAATGGACTACATGGAGAGCTAAAGCTTTTTCTCTTGAGGTGTCTCTCAAAAGCAAAGACAGACCAATTCCATGAGGAGAATCCCAACTAAAAACAATACTGAAGGATAAAAATCCCTCAAAATAATAAAACCGATTGTGAAATGCCCAAGGAAGAAATAAGGCATGGGTAACAACATTACAATTCCCATTAAAAGCTAATAACCCACTCAAATCGAAACTTTTAGAGGCTACACCCCAAAATAGGCTAAAAGAATGAAATGGCCAAAACGTCTCACCAAATACTGGATAAGTAATGGAGCTAGCAACTCTAAAAGAGCCTAAACTTACAATGACGACTGAAGACATTATCAACATAGACGGACGACATCCCTCAAGCTAGAAGCACTCAACAGCCTGCTCTCCTTCCTTTCGTCATTCTCCTCTCCCTTATGCCCGCCTCTCCCCCTCTCTTTTTCCGCCAATGCAAACCACAAGAGATTGTACTCCCATATTCTGCTCTGCTCCAGTCTCTAACTATACCACATGCAATAGTCACAAAAAGAGCAGTCCACCCTAACAGTCCACATTCATATTGTTTCAATATGGCATGAAGATCGATCTAAAATTAAGTACCCTTTCGCACTTTTTAAAATGCAGCGTGGAAACCTGCTTTAAGTACTTGTTTATATTATTATTACAAGGTGGGAAAATTTTGTATTGCTCTCAGACAAATACTTGAAGGTACTACTATAAAAAAGGCTCATTGTTCACGAACAACTCATTGTTCTGCTCATTATATAGCTCATGTTTGAATCGTTCGTTAAGCGAGTGGAACACTAACAATTTCTTAAGCTCGAATTATAAATGAGCCAAACACGACCAACCCTTTGCTCGATCGTATACAACTCATTTTAGCTCAAAATAAGAAAATTTAATATATTATTTATATAAATAATATATTATATTATTTATCTTTATGTTTAAATCACTGTAGCTTGTGTGGTCATGTTGTTTTTATTGCAAGCCTAGCATCTATTTTTTATAATTAGTTTATATGATCTTATTTTGAGCTGAACACAAGTCGAATACGAACACATTGTTCACGAGTAATTTCAAACACGAATCAATTTCAAACAAAATTTATTTCGAATGAACTGAATATGAGCCAAGCTTGAGTTCGTTAAAGCTTAGTTCGTTTATAGTCCTACTTCAAGGTCTGTCAATGCTTTATAAGCAGGTATGTTAGAAGATTTATTGTTGCAGTGTTGCGAAATATTGAGCGTGCGTGCTTTATGGATAGTTAAGAAGCCTAGCACATCCGATGCAACCCTTACATTGGAATGATATCAGGAGGCTTAAGTAGCATTGATTGAATGGATCTACAAGTAACAAAATTTTAAGAAACATGTTGAACACAAAAATGGCTAAAATAAATAAATAAAATACACCAAGAAAAAGGATTACATACAACACAAATAGTGGTGAATGTGTGTTGAAAATGCAACACTCACCGAGCTTATAAGGATCATGGTGATTCACTTACTAGCAAAAATGAATATGATAAAAATTTACTAGAATGGAATCGGTTGAATTTACAAGCTTGTCAACACGCATGAATAAACTTTTTTATTGAGACGTTCAGATTTATAAACTGGAAGTGCATCTAAGGATGATTATGAGAGCCCTTTTTCAATAGCACGTGATGACATCATGAAAAGGTAATTTAATGAGGATCAACACAAATAATTCGATATTATTTTCAGAGCACAACGAAAGCCTAGAATGTTGTAATCGTCATCAGATCCGTGACACAAATGCGCAGCTGGATAGGAAAAAACAAAGGCTCAAGATGAAACGTTGCACAATTTTCACTAACCATAACATTAATGCAAACGTTCAAATTTTAGATAATTTCAAAACTTGCACATTTCCTTGAGTTTATTGTCAACTTAAATTAATCATCTTAAAGAACATGAAAGCACGCTACAATTTGTACAAATACGTCACACAAGCTCATTGAGATGCATGCGTATTAATATAAGCCCACATGTGCTCTGATGTTGTCCTGGATGCTTAAATTTGGATGTTTGAGATTGATTTGTGTGGACTTGGATTATTTTAAAAAACCTTGCTCCAAGCAATATGTACGCTAATAAACCTAAATTATTTGCATGTGCTCTTATATTATTCCAGATTCTTAAATTTGAACGTCTTAGAATGTTGTGTAGGTTGGACTAAAGTTTAAACACAAATGTAATCATCCTTGATAAGCATGCAATTCATTCCAATTTTGTGAAAGCCTCTATTTTGAAAAATCAATTCAAAACCATTAAATGATTTATGTAGGGTATGTTTGGCGCAGCTGTTGATTATTTATAACTGTACTAAAGTTTAAACACAAATGTAATCACCCTTGATAAGCATGCAATTCATTCCAATTTTGTAAAAGCCTCTATTTTGAAAAATCAATTCAAAACCATTAAATGATTTATGTAGGGTATGTTTGGCGCAGCTGTGGATTATTTATAATCTGCTGATAAGCAGATTATTCCGATAATCTGATAATCTGATAATTTGCAGATTATCAGAATAATCTGACTTATTGTTTGGGGCAGTTTATTTAGACTAGTTTATTGGTGGTTAAATGACATTCCTGACCGTGTCTGATAAAACTGTTTCGGGCAGCTTATTCAGAATAACTTATTGATAGAAAAGAAACATATAGTGCAGAAACATACGATAATCACAGATCAGTTCTAAAAGATACCATACAGTTCTTACACCCTAATGAGTACCAGGAGAACTAAAAAAAGTACAAATACAAGTACGACAACAAGGAGAAATATTAAAATATTTAACTTCAGACTATGGCTACGCCGGTCTTCATCTGCACTGTCAGCCTGAGAAAACATCAGATTCACATGATTGCTGGCAAGACTACTGGACACAACCATAGAACTGCCTCCCAAAGCTATGCTCCTTACGTGACGTTAGCAACGGAGACGCTAGTCCACAAAAACACAAAATCCCTCTGTCTGTACCTGATATCCTA